CTATTACTACTACTACTACTACTACACTGCTACTGCTGCTGCTGCTGCTGTTGTTGCTGCTACTACCACTGCCGCTGTCGCCGCCGCTGCCGTAGCCACTGCTATACTGCGCGGTATAGCGATGTAGTCGCAGCGCTAACTAATACGCTCGCATCATGTCCTCTTCGGACCACGCACAATTATCACCGTCGTTACCACGTACTTCTTCTCGCCTGCTGACTGCAGCTGAATGATTGGATCCTGAACCTAGATAACCGTCCGATTAGTTGGCTAACTGGCTGACTGACTAACTGCTGGTGTCCTGCCTGCACACAGAAACAACGAAATCGACTTGCATGAATGGCGGATACACAGCGATCAGTGCGGCGCGCATGCGCTAGTTTATTAATAGCGGTCCACACGCTGTCGTCATCATTGACCAATGGGCGCCGCGCGATTTCCGTTCATGCCCAGCCGATATCTAGCGTTTTATAGAATGGTGCAGGGTAAAATTAACTCTCTCTCGCTCTTTTTCTCGCATTCGCGCGTACGAGACACTGGAATTAACTCGGCAAGGTGTCGCGCGTAAAACGAGCGTTACTGCGTGATTTCGTACGGTCGATAGATCTCATACAGTCACCGATAATTATCCGCGACGGTATTAATCAGCGTCGTGTCACGCGACCAATTCGACCCTCCCTCCATCTGCGATTTCGACAGATCGCGTGCGAGAACACACGAATCCGGTGCCTCATCTCGAAGAGCGAATTGCACGTCCGATCAGTTTATTGATCGGTTAATAACCGATGGGAATTCCGCTACGGCGAGAACGTCAACGGGTCATTGGATTACACATTATTACGCATAGATGCTCCATTAATCTAAGTTTATCGGAGCGGCCTCTTATATCTATCTACAAGTACGATGTCGCCGCCACGATTGAGGCAATCGGCTCATTGATCCTTTGGCATGCATAACTTCGGGTCATTCCCGCACGCGAGGATGCACGCGACGTACAACCGAGACGTGTGTATATCTCTATTACTCGACCCAGTTTTAAATAATTAGAGAAAGTAAATAGAATATATATGGCAGCCACGGCAGTCCGAATCCATGCGATTCAGAAATTCCTTTCCCTCCCTTTTCCTTTACGTGACGCATGCGCGAAAGGACAAACTTGTGACGCGATACTTTTTTTTTTTACCTCTGTTTATAAGGGAGACTTCGATTAAACTTCGATCAAACTCCGATCAGGCGATACTTTTATTATTCTGTTAATATCGTCGTTACAAAACGATTGATCTTCTGTTATTTAATACGTTGAAAGATTAGATATTGGGAATTAATGGAATTTGAAAGTTTTTACAGTAATTCTGCCGCTTGAATTAATCAGAATACTCCAAATATCTTTTTATTTTTATAATCATCGCGTGTGATTAAAAGGAAGGTTGTTTGCTAGGGCGATAGTTGGAAAAAGTCACAAAGGTTTTACATTCCTTTCATAGGATCTTTTAATAATCGAGGCGGATCGATAGAAAAATTAATTTAATCTCTCGACAAAGAAGTGCTTGAAAAAGATAAATAGAACGTATTCTGTAGCTGTGTTGCATATCTTGCAATAAATAGATTTAAATAGGTCTTCGACGGAAGTGAGAGAATCTATTAAGAAACGATGCTTCCCACGATCCAATATGTGCTTACTAAACGATTAATTTGACACGAAGCCAAGATCTCTAGGAATCATGAATTGTTTGATCACTTCGTCCGTTACTTTACTTTTCGCCTCCTGATGCGCGGCGACAAGTCGCTGTAGCACGTCGATCAATTCCTTTTTCAGTTCGCCCGTTAAAATCTCTCCACTGGTGTAGCCCTGAAAAACAAAACATTCATACATCGTACATCATAATTCTAAGATATCTATTTAAGATTGAAAAAAGTCTGCAACCAACGTGAGACTGACTTTTCTAATTTCTTCCAATCGTTCATCATCCTCCAGGAAAAATCGCAGCCATTGATAAGATATGTCCACCTCACAATTTCCACCAAACTGCCTGTGTTCCTCCACAGTGGCCTGACCGCCTGAGAATGCATGCTTATTGATTTTGTTCTTGATTTGCTTGGCGGTGTCCGTGAGAAATATCGCCGTGTTATTATCGCTCGCTGACATTTTCGTTTTCGAGCCCTGTAACGCTGGAAAGAAAGTCGCGTGTAGCAAGGCTGGCTTGGGAAAACCTAGTCTGGGTGCCACATCTCTCGTCATACGAAAGTATGGATCTTGATCAATCGCGCATGGTATCAGGCAGTTTACTTTTGCATCTTTAAAAATGAAAGGAAACGAGCCAGAGATCGCTGGTGCTGCTTGAGTTGGCGGGAATGCGATCTTTGCAATTGGATCACTATCCCCAAAGCCAAAAATGCCCTTCACTTGATTAAACGTAATACATCTCTGTATCCTGATCATGTTCTGATAAAATGCCGAATTATTTCCTATATGTTCCAGGTTGGAGAAGATAAAAGTCTTTTCAGGATTAAAACCACACGCGATGATATCCCTCGCATTGGCATAGGCCAGCTTAATAGCATCTTCTATTTTTATGTTCTTCCATATGGCTTTTTCATCATCCGTCAACTGTATGACCAATGGGACGTTAAAAATATCCTGTAACCATTTGCAGAACATAAAGGGTATAAGATGCCCTAAGTGCATTGCATCAGAACTTGGTCCTCTACCCGTATACAGATAAAAGAACTTTCCTTGCTCGTAAAGGTTTAAAATGGTATGCATATCTCTGTGAGAGAAGAATATGCCTCTTCTGAGAAAGTGATGTGGTTTCTTGCCAGTAATTTTTTCGAATCTAGTCAACAGCTCGTCATCTATCTTCGAACTTCCGAATTTTTACTAGTAAAAAAAAAAAAAAAAAAGAAAGAAATAGCTATAAAAATAAGTGCAAAATACAATGCCTTGAACACGTAAGACTACACTTGCTGAGAATATAACCTATAAAATTATAGAGAATTAAATACCTATTCGTGTAACTCGTTCACACGTTTGTAAAAATAATAATTCTTGTAAAATAAATTTTCATGAAAGACGCGACTTACTGATCAGCTTGTCGTAATCAATTCCGGAATCGTTAATGCTCATGACCGTCCACGGCGTCACAACGTCTCCGTCCTCATCCTCATCCTCGGTGACACCGTTTATCACGCGTCTCTGTACCTGCGCGTCCTCAGTCGTCATGATTCCTTTGTTACTCATTTTTTTTTCTAGACTATCTGGACGCGATCACACGGTAATTCACGTGAGCGATCGGGCTCATGTGAGACACAGCTGGGGACTTCGTCGCGGACGGATCGGCCTTCAACTTTTGGAGGTTATGTCATCATCCCTCTCACCCGGCAGGCGGATCAAAGTGAATGCCACTTTACCCGATGCGCACGCAAGACGATTTGTCATACTGCAAAGTCTCGCTGATCACCATAATTACTGTAATCGAGATGATGCAATCGTTCGGCATTGTTTCCTTCGCGACAATCGAGGCCGCAAAGGTAAAACCGTGTGACCACAATAGAGAAAAATTCTTATCGTTTCTGTCATCGTGCCGTCCGCGTAGCGATCGAAAAGTATTCACCTGTGTCTTTCTCGGTTTGTTTTCTCGAACGCGAGAGAAATATGACAGTCTCGATTTATCGCAGCGCAGCCGCGCGAAAATTCGATAATTTCGCGCGAGAGTTGCTCCGAGAGTTTATCTTTTCGCGAGTATTCTCAGACATTTTCTACGTTCTGGGGAATTATCGGAGCACGACTTGATCGATATGTTATGCATCCTGATTCCTAACGTTATTCGTCTCCATTTTCCTTCTTCTGTGAACATTCACGAGGTGGAATACTTCCTGGAATTCATGACAGAACTTCAACGTATATGGCGATGACATTAGTGATGGAATCTATGGAAGGATTTAGGGTTAGAGTGCGATCCACTTGATGCACATAGACATAGTATAGACATAGTATAGATAGACCGAGCATGCTATATACCAAGCAATAGGCGACATGTGCGAGTGAGAAAAAACAACACCTGATTTTTCTCTCTTTCTCTGATAGAAGAGGTCGGGGAAACATTAAGTGGAGACTGTGTGTATGATCCTTATTATAGACCCCACTTAATGTTTCCTTCACCTTCTTCTATCAAAGAGAAAAAAATCAGGTGTTGTTTCTTCTCACTCGCATATGTCGCCCATTGTCTGGTATACAGCATACTCTGTCTATCTATACTATATCTATGGTGCTACAAATGCTTCAAAGCAATTTTTGATTTTTTATTCTAATTGGTTAATCAAATGTTTCGAAGTATTTGTAGCAGGAACTCCGCGTTGACGATAGCGATGTATCGTCGCGCTGAAAAATAGAAGCTTATACATTCTTGTCCTTGTTCATCTTTATACAAGTGACATGCGGATAATGAAATTTTTTATAATGACTATTTTTCGTTATTGTGTGCTTAATCGTGCAGATATGACTTGTTTCGTACTTACCAGAGTCGTAAAAATGGACGGCAGCTAAAATTATCGTCGGACATTATATGTGAAAGCATTTTTTTCACTTCTTTCAACAGCTGTCAAATCATGTTTCCTACCTGAATAAGCTTCATTTCACGTGCCTTTTACAGCTATTTATTGACTATCAGGAAGGGAAAGGATAGCCGCCCATTTTCACAAGTGTCTTAAAGTCATATCAGGTATTATTTTCAAAGTCAAATATCTCTTTATTTGCAAAATTATCGTCATAAACTTTAGTGTGTCATTTCTCGCCTATGACGTCATGATTCCATAGAGTCTTGAGATTACACATCCGACTAATAAATTCTCGAGATTTATTACTCAAGATTTTAAATAATATATCAGACTATATACTTTTTTTCTATTTTTCTAAATGTATAATTTTAAATGCAAAAGATATAGGAACAGATGCAACTAAGACTAAAATTATCATAAAAATATTTTTTAAATATAATTTGTATAATGCATAAAAATGTACTTTAATTCTAGTCATTTTTGAGTATACTAAATTATTTTTTATTTATAAGAATATCGATAATCATATATGAAAATATTTCTAAAATCTAAAGAAAAATCTATAAACATATGATGCAAGTATTAAAAACGATAACTTACAAAGATACATTTATTGATATTCAAGATATACATAAAAATAGTTTGTATGCTGGAAAAATACGTTACGTATTACTCTGCGATATAATTTTATCTCTCAACTACTTCTACAGGTATCACATTACATCCCAAAAGACCTTTACCGACCCAAGGACGTGGAGTTAACGATAAGACTGTAACATTCGACTCACGTTTGACTTTTACATGAATCGTCTTATATCTGCTATTTTCTACCAGCTTTCCAATATCTGCTAAAGATTTGAAATTTCGGCAATGAATAGATCCAAATTCCAATATTAGATCTTCAACTTGGATTCCCTGAAAAAACAACTCTTATTTCTTAAATCTAATTAGATAGAACAAATCTTAACAAGATAAAACAAATCTTAAAATAGATTTGTAAATAGCAAATTCAATTGAATACAGATTATGAATGACCAATGCAAAAACATGAGGAAATAACAGGTACCGCAGTTTCCGCTGGTGAACCAGGTGAAACTAAATTCACTCTGAGGAAAGGCTCCAGTGCTTCTATTTCGTGACTATCAGGTATGTCAGATACTGACTGTTCAGTTTCGCTGGCTCCTGCTAGAGCATGTACTTTGTGCAAGCCCTCCTCTATTTTCTTCATCACATCTTTATGATCATTTGTAAGACCTGTTTGGCAATAGGGTATTATTCAAACACACGAAAATACATTGTCCTACTTTATATTCATAAAAAAATAAAAAAAAGACAGGTCTATATTAACATACATATTATTTTGTGCCTTGTGTGTCTCACTTGATAAACGTCGACCTCTTGCTTGGGATATCCTTCAGAGTCCACTAGTGGTTCGTCCATGCCGATGTGATTCTGCAATTGCATCAAGAATGCAAAATGAGACTTTCAAAAATCTGACAGATCATGCTACAAAACGAGTTTGGAATTTCCTCGCGACAGTAACGTCATTCCTACCACTACAATGTAAAGCCAAGCGCGATACTTACGGAATCTAAGATCTCCTTTAGCGCTCGTAGATCAGATTCGATCTTGTCTTTTTCCTTCATTAATTGAAGGACGATATCCTTAGCCTCTTGTAGTTCCATGTCGACCACCATTTTCGTTTTGATCGCACACTGTGGTGTAGACATATTCATAGATATGTGTACATACATCTTGTATGCATGTACATACATCTTAGGCCCTCTGTCGAGAAATCATAAAAACATTCTTCGTGATATTTAGGAATTATTTATACATATTTTTATACATGTTATTTATATAGTTTTTTTATATTTTTATATTAAAAATAAAATATGTATAATTATATATATAATTATATAAGATTATTTTCCAAAAAATTTGATTTTTTGTCACTTCGATGCTCTGTATACGATTTATTGCTTGTGTTCATACAAATATGTATTAATTACTCGATTCATAAGTAATTTCTATTTTTTAACTAAGTATAATTATGTCTTTATTTCATAAATTCGAGCAAAGAAAGAACATTTGATTTTCTCAGGGATTCAGTTTTAATTGCATTTAACAATTATTATAACGAAGATTTAATAATAAAAATTACATTTTTCAAAATCGCGCGCGTTTAGAGACAGGATGGTAGCACTGCGCGGCCAACTTCTCGCCATTCGTTGTGCCTTGGAAGAGCCGCGCTTCGTCAATGTCCAACTGATGGACGACACGCGATCCTGAGCGCGAGGAAGCTTCAAAAGAGAAAACGAACTGCCCATGATCTGATCATCGAGATAAAACGCGAGTGCCAACGTTCAGGTTCGAGATCCCAGCTGTGATAGGTTCCTTGATCACGGGGTGGAGTGTGGCCTGCGTGACGAATCCTGCCAACTATTTCCGGCGGTACACACGGCACCGCTGACCGCAAGGTGACGTTTGCTGTAAATCGAGGTGTGCTGCTGCCGGATTCGAAGGTAGATACCGAAGGGGGGTGAGAGAGGCGAAACACGACTGGTGTAACACGTCAAACTGACGAAAGTCTGCGTCAAGCGTACAAGGAGGACCAACTAAGTTGTTGGAGGTATTTGAGTGTCAGTTCCGGGCCTTATCATAGGTTAGCGTGACAGCGCGAAAATTTGTGCCTATATCGTCGTTTTCGTAGAGAACGACATCTCTGCAAAGCTCTGCGCACAGTGTTCTATCGCACGCTCCGGTTGCAAGATGGGCCTCACAATCAGCAGCCTCCTCACTCGGCTGTTTGGTAAGAAGCAGATGCGGATATTGATGGTGGGCCTTGATGCCGCCGGCAAAACCACCATACTCTACAAACTGAAACTCGGTGAGATTGTTACCACCATACCTACGATCGGCTTCAATGTCGAGACAGTCGAATACAGAAATATTTGCTTCACCGTATGGGACGTGGGCGGTCAAGACAAAATCCGGCCGCTTTGGAGGCACTACTTCCAGAATACTCAGGGCCTCATCTACGTAGTGGACAGCAACGATCGCGAGCGTATCGGTGAGGCGGAGCGTGAGCTGGCGAACATGCTGAAGGAGGACGAACTGCGGGATGCAGTGTTATTGGTATTTGCTAACAAGCAGGATCTGCCCAATGCCATGTCCGCCGCCGAACTCACTGACAAGCTGGGCTTGAATTCGTTGCGAGGACGTCATTGGTATATCCAGAGCACTTGCGCCACACAGGGACACGGACTGTACGAGGGGTTGGATTGGTTGAGTAACGAGCTGGCCAAAAAGTGATAGCGCTTCACTATACCCGGTACTTTAAGGATAGCTCATTCATTCAGTGTGGACGTAGAAGATGGGTGGAGAGAGTCACTCAACAGTTTCCATCTTTGTCAAATTATATCGATGTAACATCTATCATGTACAGTTTAACAATCGCTGCGTTCATAATTGCTTACAGAAATTGATACATCTTGCAAACTGAGGATACTAGGAGCAATTTTAATAACTTTTTCATCGCTGTACGCACGATTGATTGCGCTCTAGGAGCAAACTTGTTTTATAGAATGAAGAAAAAGGCATTGAGATACAACAGATGATTCTTCATTTATAAGAACACACACGCACGCGCGCGCGCGCGCGCGCGCGCACACACACACACACACACACACACACACACACACACACACATGTTGTACATAGTACTTAAGTTTTTCATACATGCTCATTATTTGCCAAGTAAATTCTAATTTTGCTCTTTGATACATCGAGTAACAAAGTACCGTTTTGACCAATTGATTTAATGTGTGTAGAGCTTTTATATATTATCATATTTATATATTATCATATGTGAAAAACATTGGTTATCGCAATTTATTTCCCATTTTGGTCTACGTCCGTGCTATTTGTGAGGAATGACATATACAATGTATTGTGATGTTATACACATAGATCATTCACACTTTCTTGTTCTTCTAATAAATATAAGTAAATTTTGAGATAAGTAACTTGCTAATTATATAAGGCTTATAGATAAGTACTTGATTAACTTTAATACCATGAAAGGAAATAAAACTTAACTAAGGTTTCACATGAACCGTGATTTTCCTTTTTAATAAAAATAGACACTTGAATTGTAAGAAGTGTGTTTAAAAATTGTCACAATAAATCCTGAAAATATGGAAAATATATAAACACCAACCAATCTTTCCACCTTGCGAAGTGAAAGCATAAGTATTATTTGCTTCCATTAATTGATATCCAATTAGCACACAAAAAAAAAGAGGAAAAAATAGAAAAGCCAGACGAAGAAGTACCACTTGTTCGCTCGTTCATCAAAATCATGTATTGTCGTGTTAACTAAATGTAAAATGTACAACTTCATTATGATACAAAACAGTACGGTAATGCTACAAGTACTGTATAATATATAACGTATCAAACGATTTTGTTAAAGTATGGTGTTACTTTTTCGCATATAGCACAGCAATCTATTCCATTCCTATTCCGAGAAACATGGCAAATAAATTACGAAAGG